TGTTAGAAATTGTTTGTCCTCCCCCCCCCTTTTTTTTTGAACTGTGAGCCGCCCTGAGTCCCCCCAGGGAAAAGGGTGGCATACAACAACAATTAATAATAATTAATAATACTTGATTGGTTTTTCTAGGTTGATGAAGAACCACATATGAATACCCTTTGGATGCAGCTATCGAACTAGTTCCAAATCTACCAATCTGAAATATTAATTAGCACATCATTGTTTATTCTGTTTGCAAAACAAACATGAGAGACCTTCCCAAACACTTCACTTCAGACACACTACATCAATAATTTTCTACTGCTGTAACATACAAATCACTATCATAAAAAATATAAGGTTAGCCTTTTTTCCTGTTATTAAAAAACTTAAGCTGACTGCTGGTAAAAGCACTATTTTCTGTGTCTGCCAATGTGCCGCTTGACTATCTTTGTGTTGTGAAATTCTCTCATCCTCCCTCCCTCCCCCCTCCCTCTTTCTCCCTCCCTCTGTGTGTGTAACATAAATTCAGTTACTTACTTGTGAAACTCTTCTTCATCAATCATATCCAAAGCTTTTACCACAGCCATTCTGGTGAAGACTGACTAGAGAGAAAAATAAAATGATACCTGTGTTATCAGACACTGCAAACCTTATTCTTTCTATCAGATTTATTTTAGCCAAGAAGGAAGCCATTTTAATGGCATATCTAGTAGTATGCCTTTGTTTATTGTTTTCTTGTTTTGTTCTAAGCTTAGTGCTTTATTATAGAAGAAAAGTTTCACATTTGAGTAGACTTAGGTTTTACAAATTCTAACTTCAGACTGCTTTGGATGACAACCTTACCTGGGAAGTATGTGCCTCCCTGTACTTTATTCATTTTTATTTTTATTTCCTTCTATTAAATTGTGTCTGATTTTCAGACACTGCCAAAATAAGTCCCTGCTGTTTTTTTGGCAAGGTTTTCTAGAAACGTTTTGCCATTGCCTCCTCCCTAGGATTAAGAGAAAATGACTGGCCCAAGATCACCAGCTGGCTTCATGCCCAAGGTGGGACTAGAACTCACGCTCACCCAGTTTCCAGCCTGATGTCTTTACCACACCAAACTGGCTCTCATATTTTATATTAGTGTTAACATGATTCATACATATTTTTCTTTATTTATTTCATATGGCTGGCCATCTTTCAAATTCTGAGCAGCTAAAAAAAAATTAAAAACTATACACATCAAATAATGATAAAAGACAAGAACAAGCATACTATGGCAATTAAGGAAACTGCAACTAGCAATTGCCTATTTTTAAAGATACATATCTTTAAAAACTCGAAGCCATGGTAAGTACTCCGCTATTCTCCAGATGTTCTTGAATGAGAACTCATGTAACTTCAGCCAGCAAAGTCAAAATATTTAGAAAGCATCAGAGTGTCTATCATGAGATGTGGATTTTGGAGTACAGGGAACTGTATAAAATTAAAGTTAATTACCTGTTTATTTTTTGCTGGTTTGAAGCAGCTTGGACACACTGAAGCTCTGAATGAAAACAACAAAAATCAGTCAAATATCTTTAAAAAGGTGATTACATTTTCTACCAAATAGATAATGAATACAATAGTATAAGGTTTTATATTTGCCAGTGTCAAAACATTTTATTAAGAGCAATCACCAAAAAGATACTTTTGAAAACACCTTTCCCATCTCTACCTAGTCAGATAACTCTTGCTCCTTAGACCAGGGGTATCAAGCTCACAATGTCACGTTGTCAACAAAGGATGCATTGCAACTTTTTTCCCCTTTGTTAAAATGGGGGTGGGCATGACCAGCACGTGGCAAATCTAGTCTGCAGCTGCGGATTTAACACCCCTGCCTTAGACTGTCTCCCTTTGGCCATGGAACTGGAAGGCTCTGCTTCTCTGGCACAATATCACAGCAAATTTAAGGCCAAGCTGAGGAGCTTTGTATTATTGAGCTGCTGCTAACACTTGCCCAGGGATTAAAAAGCTAAAGAACAGAATATTATAGTATCTGAGCTAAGGTGGTACAGTGGTTAGAGGGCAGTACTGCAGGGTACTTCTGCTGATCACTAGCTGCCAGCAGTTTGGCAAATCGAATCTTACCAGGCTCAAAGTTGATTCAGCCTTCCATCCTTCCAATGTGGGTAAAACCAGGACCTAGCTTGTTGGGGGCAATATGCTGACTCTGTAAACTGCTTAGAGAGGGCTGTAAAGCACTATGAAGCAGTATATAAATCTGTGTTATTGCTATTGTTATCTTCTATTGACTGGAAGATCAAAGGGCAACATTCAAACAAAATACAAGCATGAGACAATAATTCAATTGGAACTAATTAAATCCCAGTTCAGGCCCTTGCATTTCATTCTTGTTTATAAAAACTGATCTTCCCACTTCACTCCCCAGATCTTGTGGGCTTTCTCTTTTTTAAGTGGCAGACATTTAGAAGATGAAGGGAAGAAGCATGATGAGTAGAGTTACATTCTTATCTTGTCTACTCCACTTTAACAATTCTCCTGGTACCAGAATCATGGGCTAGAAGTATGTTATTGGAAACAGAGTAAGTGACAGTGAGTGCCATTTACTTTGTTGTTATCCTAAGGCTGGGATGGCGAACCTATGGCACACGTGCCACAGGTGGCACGCGGAGCCATTTGTCAGGGCACGCGAGATGTTGCCCTGTCAGCAGGCCAGCACGCATGTGCGCACTGGCCAGCTGACTTCAGCCTTTTTTAAAGGCATTTTTCACTCTCCCCAGGCTCCAGAGGCTTTATAGGAGTCTGGGGAGGGTGAAAAGAGCCTCCCCCGACCCCCAGCCCAGAGGCCCTCCGGAGGCTTCAGGAGCTTCCCTGAAGCCTCTGGAGCACAGCCCCATGGGCAAATCAGAAGTTTGGGAACGGACTTCTGGTTTGCTCGTAGGGTCGGTTTAAGTCCTCTGGAGGCTTCAGGGATCTTCAGGAGGCTTCCCTGAAGCCTCTGGAGCACAGCCCCATGGGCAAATCAGAAGTTTGGGAACGGACTTCTGGTTTGCTCGTAGGGTCGGTTTAAGTCCTCTGGAGGCTTCAGGGATCTTCAGGAGGCTTCCCTGAAGCCTCTGGAGGACTAAAAAAGGACCCTATGAGCAAACCGGAAGTGACTTCTGGTTTGCTCGTAGGGTCGGTTTAAGTCCTCTGGAGGCTTCAGGGATCTTCAGGAGGCTTCCCTGAAGCCTCTGGAGGACTAAAAAAGGACCCTATGAGCAAACCGGAAGTGACTTCTGGTTTGCTCGTAGGGTTGTTTTTTGCCCTTCGGATGCTCCAG